TAAAACTTTGTTAATAAGATCAGAAAAATAAATAATCCTAGGTCTACCAACAAATAAGGGGCAACTAAGGTAAGTGATAGGACCCTCTTTTTGCTTGAAACCTTGTGATTCTTTTAATCTTTCTCTTGTGCTGTTGAATGCATTTGAATGGACCATAAAGTGACTTTTATCCGTGTTAATGAGCTATTCGGAGGTCTCCTCATAGGAATTCAGAGTTTGCATAATGAGCTTTAGAGTTCTCTGTCTTCCAGAAGTGAAGAGGATGATATCGTCAGCAAAACTTAAGTGGTTTACTTGAGGCCCTCTAACTTCCATGAAGAATCCATGATAGTTAGGGTTGTTGTGAAGTCTGTTAAGGGATCTCGAAAGGACCTCTGCATCTAAAATAAATAGGGCAGGAGATATAGGATCACCTTGTTTGAGGCCTTTCGTGGAATGAAAGAAACCATGTCTTTTGCCATTGACAATAATAGAATACTAATTGTTGGCCATGATCCTCCAAATCATGTCAATAAATACCTCCTCAAACCCCATTCTTATTAACACCAAGCATATATAGGACCAAGAAACTCTATCATACGTTTTAGCCATGTCCAATTTAATGATAACATTTCTCCAAATATTAGGCTTCTTAATCTGGTGAATAATCTCTTGGGCCAGCATAATGTTTTGTTATATACTCCTCCCTTTGACAAATCCCGATTGGTTGAGAGAAACCAAGTTAGGTAAGATAAGACCAAGTCTAGAGCTCACCAATTTAGATATAGTCTTGCTAGTGAAGTTACTTAAACTGATGGGCCTGAACTCAGTGAGTTTGTTAGGATTGCTCACTTTAGGAAGAAGAACAATGCAAGAGTGAGATAAATATTTAGGAATCATTTGACCACAAAAGAATGCTTGAATAACACCAAATAAATCCTTCTTGATAATATGCTAGCATTTCTGAAAGAAGTAACCATTCATCCCATCAGGACCAGCTGCAGAATTAGGATTCATAGAGAAAACCACTTCCTTCACCTCTTCCAAAGTAGGCATAGTAATCAGATTATTATTTCGTTCCTGATAGACCATCCTGGGGATACAATTGATAAAATTCTCATTAGTAACCTTGTCCTCCCCTGTAAAAATATTTTGCAAATGTCCACAAGCAACTTCTGCAATGTTATCATCTCCATGTATCCATTCCCCCTCTTCATTGATAAGTTTATGTATAAACAGTCTTCTTCTCCTTCCTCGTATGAGTGAATGAAAATAATTTGTGTTAGCATCTCCTTCTTTGAACCATTGTAATTGTGTTTTTGTTTCAAAATGGTAGTCTTCCCATCTTCAAAAATCTGATGTATTCTGTATTAAGCTCATGAAGTGTTGTCCATTTTTTTTAGTATGGTCTTGAATAAGATTTTGTTCAACATTCCTGACCTTCTCTTCATACACCTTGACCTTAACAAAGATGTCACCAAATTCCCCCCGGACCAAGAGCTAAGAGTATTGGACA